CCCGGGGGTCATGCCCAGCCTGACACCCGGGCGTGTATCCGGGCGCCTGGAAAAACAACCTAGATAGCAACGGAAAAATTCGGATTTCAAGAAATTAAAGAAAAACTTCAATTTTCAGCTACTAATTACTGCGTGGTTCGTAATTTCCCAAAAAAACGAATTTCCGCAAAACAAGATTGGGAAAAATATTTCATATTTTCATGGAAAACAAATCTTGTGCAGAAAAAAAATATTTCAAAAAAAAATAAAATTGGCTTTGTTAAGCAGCGAATTTTCCAATTTTGGAAAAGATAAACATTAAAAATTTCACTACTGCGCAATTTTGGATTTTACAAAAAACGAATATGCGCCAACGAACTAGGAAGTTTTTCATGCTCGGCCGGGCACCCGGGCGTGATGCCCGGGGGGGTCTGACGCCCGGGGTACCCGGGCGTGAAAAAAAAAAAAAAAAAAATGTCGTTCTGCACTCTACCAGAGGACCCCAAATCCGGGCTCGTTTCATTTTTTTAGCGTTGGCTGTCAAGAGGGGGAAGGGGGGTATAAATTGATTTTAAAGCGGTTAAGAGGGGTTAAAGGGGGGTCCTTTAGTGTGATTTTGTTATTTTTTTTTTTATCTTTGATTTCGTGAGGAATTCTAATATGACCCTCAACTAAAAGTTGTTTGTATTGCAATTCTACACAACATATTTATTTTTTGGATTTATTTTTATTTTTATTTTTTTGCATCGGGCCTGCCCGGAACCCTACCCAAGGGTCATGCCCGGGCGTGTATCCGGGCACAAGTTGGGTGCCCGGAAAAACAACCTAGAAAAATACTAAAAATAAAAATAAACGCGAGGACATAAAAAAAAGTAAGGCGACGAAGGGCCCCGCGTGGTTGCACCTCGCCGTTGACACACCACGTGCACCACTTACCTGGGCAAGGACTCAACTCTCACCCACGAGCACGTCCTCAACTTTGGACGGGGCCGCACGAGCATGGCTCGCAAAAAGCCCGCCAAATACCCTGAAGGGTATTTGGTATGACAATCTTCCCGGACCATATTAAGCGACATTCTCTTCGCATCGGACTTCCAAACCAAATACCTTTTAAACATAGTCTCTAAGAAAAGTATACAATAACTTTTCTAGCATAGTTGATTTGACTAAAACGGCCATCAAGTTATATTAACTCCGAACCTCGATTTCTCAAAACAAGTGGGCAAAATCCCAGCAGTAAAAAAAAATCTCATTTAATTCCTCACCAGAATAGGAATAATAATCGGCTAGACACTAACACATTTCAACCTGTAATTCAACAAAGTGGATAAAACCACTTTCTACCAGCTATAACCACAGACAAGAAGTCATCCAAAGTCAACTTAAGGCTACATCATTCCCGGTTCCTTTGAATGATATTTTATGGCATCGGACACCCAGAACATCCTTCCACTTCCAAGACTTAACTCGGCGGTGGACCAAAATTCAGGACCTCAATCTTTATTTAGTCCTTTTAATTTTCACATGACGATCATTCAAACTCAACCCATTTATACACCCCTTCTCCAAACTCTTTCCTCAAAGGTCACCCCATCGTGGGGATTATCACAACTAACTAGAGGTTAGACAAATTGAGTTTATTGTGCATGTCATGGATTTATCTTATGGGTTGAGCCCTGTCAAGCTCAGCCTCCCAAGTCATTATTGTCGCGCAGAAGCCACTCATCTCAGTCACTCGTAAAAATGGATGGGTATGGGTATTCGTTAAGTCTTCAAAATAAATTAAATTCACGTTTTTTGCACATAAATCATATTTTTTTTAAAGTAGGGTTCTTTACTTTCGTCACACACTTTGTCAATCTCATTCATAAGTTTTGCTCAGTGAGCAAACTCTCATAAGTTTTTCTCCAAATAAAAACTCAACGTTTTTGTTTCTCAAAATTTTACACTTGTTGACAATGTCACTTTCAACCTAGACTAATACCAAGTGAAGAATCACAGAATCAGGCGGGTTTCCCTGCCGCAAACGACATCGTCGCGCACATCGGTCCCGCAGGGGGACCCTCCCGACCACGTCACACAGGATTGTGGCAGGATTTCATCCTGTTATCGCGGTCCAAATAGGGATTACGTCACTGCTCCGGCCGAGTCCGCCAGCGATACCTCTCGCGAACCCTTACGATAGGATAGGGTCACAGGAGGTTCAACTTACCTCCACCTGCAGGAGTTGTCACCATCCCTTAGGTGGGCGTATCCCCGCCTAAGCTACCAAACCACGTACAAAAGTTAATCAGTTGCAATCGCAGAGGTGGTACAACCGACGGCATTTCTCGTACATTGTAGCATAGGGGATACGCGTGGTCTCACACCTCTATCGGACCCGTACGTGAAACGACGCATTGGGGGCCTCAAGTCCCAAGCACGACTCGTCGTCGGTCACCTAGGAAGCATCCTTCTCGGAATGCATTACACCACGCCCAAACCAAAAGTCAGATTACTTACATAAGACAAAACAATCCTTGTCCCTTTAGTATCCAATCCATAATCGTTTGACACAGAAATCGGTTTGGCGTTGCGCGCGAGACTTAGAATAAAACCGTGTGGACGCAGGGCCTTCTCATATCGACTAGCCATGCATGTGCATGCAAGTAGTCGCAACGATGGAGTACTATGTAGTACACATAATCACGTGGCCCTCGATGGTCTCGAGGGTTGCGTTGGACGCTTAAGTGTCGGCTGACACGTGCCTTGAGGGGTTAATCTCTCGACGCTAAACAACCGCCAAGGCGGTTGAAAACCATACCCTCTTCTGCACCCTGCGG